TAATATTATAAATAATTTTCTAAAATTTTAATTTTAAACTACAATATTATAATTTGCTAATTTCTGTCATTAAACTGGATTAGTAGGAATACACACAATATATTATCGTAATTTAAAACAAAATATTATTTATATTAGCATTAATATTTTATTATCACTAAATTTAATTTTTTTGAATGATATAATATAGTATAAATGTATAATATAATATAATATTATATGTATTCCAGTATTTGTAATGAAATATTAATTATGTGGTAATTAAAGATACTAATTAACGTTTAAAAAATATTTGTTCAAGCATGTGGTTGTAAATAATTTTTTAGTCTGGGGATTTTTTTTCATGTGGATTTTCATTCCGATTACCCTTTATATACTTGACAATAAATTTATTGACCCAATATTTTTTGTACGGAACAGAGTGAAGGGAGTTAATATTTAATAATATATCATTTTATGTCTATGTTTAATATTGTCATATTGGAATCCAAAAACATAAAATATATTATTAACATATTTTATTAAGTGATTCACCAACTTTGCTCGGAAAATTGTAATTTTTACCAAAACAAAGATATGTAGGTAATTTACATCACCACAGTTGACCGAGAACAGTACTTCCAATTTTCACCAAAATTAGTAGGTATTCGATTATTTCGTCGGTAACTTCGATCTTTGTTTACGTTGAGACTAGAAGGTCTCAAATATTCGAATGACAGAAATAATTTTCCAATAATTCTGTTTATTTTGTTCCAATTATTTTCAGTCAATATTATTGGAACAAAAAAATTAAAAAAACAAATGTCACGGATTTATTGTAAATTCGTAATACCAAATACTATATACGATAATACAGGACACTGGCATATAAAAACTGGCGAATTATTTCTTATCATTGCCCCGCGAGATTGTTAAAGTAGTTGCCTATTTTACTCCTTGAAATGTTTATAAATACAAATTAATTTAGAACACCGATTTCATTTTATTGTTTATTTTCTAATGCCAAATGCCAATCAACGATTATAATTTTTAATTAGAAATATTAAATTATTTCGATTTTAGATTATATAGTATTTGCATATTTACACATACTTAAAATCTCCATAAGTTCATAAATCCTATTGGGAAATACGATACCTAAACAATATAATGTTAAATGTAAGCTTTATAGTAGGTATTAATTAAATGTAATTCAAAACATATATTATACTTATATATTTTACTTTTTTCATAATAATTATACAACACAAATCAAAATATGAAATTATAACATAAGTGCTTAAAACTGAATATCTCTTAATAATAATTTTTCAATTAAATAAACATTGTACTCAAACGTGAACTACTTTTTTCAACTATTTATTTTTTGAACATTTATATTGGTTGAATCATTGCATTTCTTCACATAGCAATTAATACTCACATTTAAAAATGTATCCAAAAATTGAGAATTGCAGTCTTCACATATACTTAGTGAGTACCTTTTACAAATATGGCTTATAATAAGTTTAAGATCCTTTTTTAAATTAAATTTTTTTTTTAGAATAAGGTTTTCAATGTTTGCATGAAAAAGTGCAGAAACATGTTTAGTAAATTCCAATGTTTTGGCAAGAGGATAAAGTAAACTGCAGCCAGTGGCGGCGCCAGGGGTGGGCCAGGGTGGGCCCGGGCCCACCTTAAAAAGTCTCCGGCCCCCCCTGTGGCCCACCCCAAAAATTAAATTTAATCATATTAGAATACTAAAAAATATCTCATGAATAAATCATGATTTATTAAAATATGAAAATATTAAGTCATAATAGATGGCGGGAACAACATTTTGAATGGGTTGAAAACTATATGCACTATAATATGCTTTCAAGCCTCATAAATAACGTGTATTTTCCAGCGGCTGAATACGAAAATAATAAATTATTATTAAATATTCATTGGTATTGAGTGTAATTATGGGTTAGGGAGCATAAAAATCAAAAAGTGTTTACATGAATATATATTTTGTTAGCAAATAAATACTATTAATACAATACATGTTTACAAATCATTGTTTTAGTAAGTTTACACGATTAAGTGTAAAAAAAATTGTAAGTTGACCCTCCCCCTCACCCATAGGCGTGCGCAGACCTCTGAGTCAGGTATGGCTAAATTCAATCTGATCACCCACTACCTTGTCATGGTCACACAAGAAAAAAATTATAGACATTTTCCTTACAAACTTTTAAGTAAACCTTTTGTTGGTGACTGGAAAAATTCATCAATATTGATTTAAAATTTTACCCAAACATAATCTAATAATAAAACAATCTATTCAAATCTATTCAATCTATTAAAAATTGTCAATTAACAATAATATTTATTTATTATTATAAATTAATCATGGGAAATCGACTTTAGGGCTATTAGTTTACGAGATATAAATATTTAAAGTTTAGATGAGCGGAGTAGTGGACATAGGTACATTTCGCTGGGTAATCCCGTAGGTACCACTCAACTCCGCTCATATAAACTTTAAATACTTATAACGCATAAACTACTCGCACTAAATTCGATTTTTATGTATCGAAATACTTAGCAAAATATTCTGCTTTGGATTATGAAATTAAAACTCTATGTTGTCATTCAAAAAATTCAAAAAATTAAATAATTAGAAGCAGGATTAAAAATATTTAAAAAAACACCTTCAAAAAACATTACACTTTTTGAAATAATGGGTATTCAATTTTAAATGAATCGCTTTGTATAGTCTCTCGGGTAAACACAAACGTTTAAAAACTAAAAGTGCTATACCTACTTTTAGTCATGTCTTCATAATGTACCAACCCACCCACGTATAAAAAAAATCTCAGGGGGGGCTAAAGCCCAATCAGCCCTACCCGTGCGCACGCCTATGCCCTCACCCCTCTGCGAAATTGCCTGTCATCACTATTGTTTATATATATATATCAAGTCAACAATTTGGCCCTCCCTAAAAAATTTGGGCCCCAGCCTGGCCCACCTGGTATTAAAGTTCTGGCGCCGCCACTGACTGCAGCCATCAATTCCTACCGAGGAACTTGATAAATGATAATATTTATGATAAAAAACAAACAATATTACTATAATATTAGTAATTTAGTATTATAATAATATAATCGTATATAGTATTTGCAATTAATATTCAAAAAAAGCGGGAATTTATACCAGATTAAGGGGTAAAATAGGCAACTTTTATAACAATCTCGCGGGGCAATGATAACAATTTGTTCGCCACTATTTTAATACAAAGTGTCCTGTATTATCGTATATAGTATTTGGTAATACATAGCAAGCGCAGGCCGCAGGGGTATCACTGGTGTGGTGAATATATGCATCTTGGGGTGGAATTCTCTCACCTGGACGTTTGTACCCAGAATCCTGACCAATGGCCATATCAACCATGGATAACCATGGATAAACAACCGAGTGCTGGTACTTACTACTTTGATAGTATAGTGTTGGATACCATTGTTCTGTGCAGAATATGTGCGATTCACTAATCAGGTCCGTTTTCTGTGGTCCGTCACTCGTCAGTCGTCAGTTGTACAGGTGGTTCAGATTCACACAGTCGCGTATTGATAAATTATAGACCACATCGTATTTCTTCATGTTAAATTTAAAATTTTGACCTATAGGTTATACCTAAGTCTTCCTAAAACTAGAAAAAATATTATCTAAATTATTGATACGGTACGTTTAATTGTAGGTATTAAAAAGAACATATTAATACATATGATTTATAATTAAGAATTTTAGTATACTTACATAATATTACATAATACTATTTAAAAATAACTTAGTTTGTATGTGTATCATATAATACATTAAATTATTTCATCCATTCTGTGTTTGTACCTTGAAAACCTAAATGGTTGATTATTTATAATTATTGGTAATGTTTATGTTTATTTTTTAAGTATTTGTAATCTTTTAATATTCGTAAATATTAAGTTTTTATTTATTGGTTGGTTAAAGTAATAGTTATATATATTTATATTATACATATTTTCTAATATTAACATGCTTTGCTTATTAGTCAACATATTTAAAATACAGACTATAATAGTCTATAATTAAATCAATATCTATATTTTGAGATTCAATATAAGTTACCAGTTGGTATATATACAGAATATAATAATATTTGATATAATAATATACACGCTTCTGATTTAATGGAACTGACAACCGGTTACCTGTAGGTAGAGTTGATAACATTCTAAAGTTATAAATACGATATTAAACAAGTAAACACGACATTTATTATAACGAAACAATTTTATGCTGGTACCCAGTGTCCTATGGTGGAGGTGGAATTCAATTTTAAATTTCCCAAATCCCGGATTGGTATTGGTGTATTAGAATTAGACCGCTGTTACTACAAAGTACAGACTCCATTAAGTATTAACTCTACTCGCTAGTCGCTGCCTACTTAGTGTCTCAGTAGTCAATCGTCATTTATCGGTTTGTTACAATCTGTCGTCTGTGCCCTGTGGCCAGTCCGCCTGTGCCGCTCGCAGTGCCATCTTCTAAGTTTCAATTGGCAGTTAATCTTTTTTCTATACCAGTAAGCCTGTGGCGATAGTTAGTAGTGTACAGGTGTACTAGTGTCTGCCTTCTGTAATCTGTTATTATTATTATTAAGTTCTGTGAAGTTATATAACTTTCTGTGAAGTTCATTATGCACATACCATAGAAAATAGATACTTTAATGAAACAACTATTACTACTGTAATTTATTGAAATATTATTAAGTTTAATATGGTTTAATGTTTATAAATTTATAATCAATTTTGTATCCTTACTATTGTTTAATTTTGCTGAAACCATTTTACCTATATTTTATACATACATTTTATTGGATCTATATTAGAAAACAACCTGAAATAAATACAATAGATACTAAATAAACTAATAAACATTTGATTATTAATTCATGAAATAATTTTAAGATTTTATGATATTTGTGTTTTTTTAAAGGTACTAATATGGGTGATTCAGACATTTTGACCCCTCTAATAAACAGTCAGGATTCTTTGAGCAGTCAGGATCAAATATCTAAGCCGGAGAATACAAATGCATGGGGGCGTCTATATCCAGAGAACGAGTATTTAAAAATTGAAGGTTTGTCTGTCTATTATAATTTAATTTTATTCATAGTTAAATTGTTATTGTTGTGATAATGTGACATTATATGCCATTTACGTTCATATAATAAATATTCTAAATTTTGTATTTATTTTAGACCTAGTGAAGGATAATTACAACGCAGGTCGTCAAACTAATGGTGTTGACTTTCAATTCACCAAACAATGCTTTAGTTTAAAAGTAATGAATCATATTAGCAAGATTCATTTCACTATAAATCGTGAAAAGATTGGGACATTAGGTTATGTAGTATTTATTACAGACACGAGTTCAAATGGCACATTTTTAAATGGTGAAAAAATTGGTAAAGACAATCGTTGGATTTTATCGAATAATGACAAAATTGCTGTTGTTTCTAAAGCAAATTATGGTACATTTTTAATTAGTATTTAATAGTTACCTACACTAATTTTTAAGAACTTACCATCAATATTTTATATTCATTTTTTAGTGTATACATTTACTGATAAACGTTCAGATTATTTAAATTGTCATCCAAAGGTCAGGAAACAATTTGCTGTTTACGGTATATTGGGTAGAGGAACTTTTGGCGAAGTCCGATTAGCTTTTGAAAAAGTAAGTTTTGTCAAATCAAAAGAAATATTAAATTTTATGTTATAACATTTTATTGCCTCGATCGAACCATAATATGTAATATTATGTATATCACATGAACATTATAAAACTTTCATTATATGTATATATTTATTATATTATATTATTTATATTATATAATATTATTTTATTATATTATATATATATTTTTTTTTTTTATTTACAACAACAAACATCTATGTGCAGTTTGATTTTTTTGTACTACGTAAACAGTGTCCAGTGGCAATAAAAACTTCTGTTTTTTAAATGAGAACCCCTTTTTTACTGTAAATTATTTAGTGGTTATTTTTTTGAACTGTAACCTATGTTACTAATTTAAAATTTAAATAAGTAGTTTCTTAGTTATTATTGATAGATTAGTATTAATGACTACAATTTTCAAATCACCATAGCCTCCACATCTCATAAACCTATTATTATAGACCTTTTATCCATAGAACACAGAGTTAAATAAATCAAAAACTACTCATACAAATTTTGATTTTGATATGTCAGATTACATTTTATACAACATTTTGACAACAATTATCCACTAATTTATAGTTGAAAGGGGTGGGGTTCTAATTTGAAGAACAGAAGTTTGTATCTCTACAGGTCAGTAATACAAAAAATCTCAATAGTAAAAAAAAAATATGATCTTAAAGTATATACAAAAATTCCAAAAATCAGATTTTGAATAATTGTCTAATATAATATTATTTCTAGTAATATTTACTGTATATAGTATTTTGGCATAATTCTAGTTTAGCAACCTATCGATTTTTTAGGTTTTGTTTTTTTTTAAATATGTGTTTTTAGGTGCTTTATAAGAATCTAAAATAAAAAAAGGCCGGGCGGACTTCGTTTGGAAGTTACAGCCTTCCAAAGTTTGCGATTTTATGTTTATACGCATGCGCGCAACACTACTATAATGCCCCGCGGAGGACGTCGATATTTTTATAATAAAAGTTACGAGTCTGTATGCATAGTTAATTTGTGTTTTCACTCCTTGACCTGTTTACATAAGTATATAGTGACTCCCTTCGCCTATCAGCACCGGTCGACAGTTAGAGTAACATAAGTCTATAGAAGCTCCCTACGCCTGCCGGCTCCGGTCGCCTTACTCGAGGCTCGGCCCCCAAACCCCCCGGGGCTTAAATAGCAAACCTGGGTGGTAGGGGGAGGGGTGGCGACCCCTTCAGATCTCGGGGGAGAGAGCACACCTGCCCTTCAGGCAGACGGATGACCTAACAAGTCAACTTTTTTTGAAACCTAGATAAATCAACGTTTTACAAATGATGGCACCAATGTAAATGGCTAATTTACCTAATCTAAGTTTTCAGTGTATATTATAATCCATAAACACACTGTATTCAGACAAATAAAGTTATGTTGTATAGTATGTATATTGTATAGTGATAACACGTCTTGCGGCACTCGTCACTGCGCTTATAGTAGTGTTGCGCGCATGCGTATAAACGTAAAATCGCAAACTTTGGAAGGCTGTAACTTCCAAACGAAGTCCATCCGGCCTTTTTTTATTTTAGATTCTTATAAAGCACCTAAAAACACATATTTAAAAAAAACAAAACCTAAAAAATCGATAGGTTGCTAAACTAGAATTGTTCCAGTATTTTTTATGTTTCAAATTATTTTTTTAATATTTAATGGTAGTTTTTCTTTTTTTTTACAATCTGATATTTAGAGAACATGGTATAAATTACGTAGTGTTAATATTTGCAATAATTTATATCAAACATTCAAGTTTATAAACTATTTATAGCAGTGGCGGCTCGTGGATGCAGGTGGTTGGGATGCTACTTTAAATATAATAGCTATATTCATAATTATAACAAATTATTTGAATATACGATAATATTAATATACATCTTACTAGTCGTAGGTCGCAAAAGAAAATGGAAATTAAAATAATAATATTAATGATTAGCAACTGACAACGCTGTTAGTTTTTAAAATAAGTTGCCCCATATAGTAATATATAAATATTTTACTGTATGGACGATGCTGCCGGTTGCCCAATATCGTATATAGCATCGCAGCGATAAACGTACCCCTGATATCTGAGGGAAACAAATTTAATGTTCACTCACGACAAATGTAGAGTAGTTAGTAACTATTAGGTAATTTATAACTATTTTACAATTTAAAAATGTAAAACTAAAAATATTATACAATTAATTTTCTTCATTTTAATAGGGGGTGCGATCGTTCCGTCTTCCAAACCACGAGCCGCCACTGATTTTTAGTTTTCCAGTTAGATTCTTCATTCTGTGAAATATCTTTTTTTCTTCATTATTAGTATCAGATTCACTTAGTGGGCTATTTTAATGCAATTGAAAATATTTTGTATATATATATAAGAAATGAAAAAGCTGATGTTTAGATGTCAGCATTTGTTTGTGAAGGAGCACATCTAATCTAAATTATGAGCTCTACTAAAAAAATTCTGAAAATGAGCCGATTCATTTATTGTTCATACATAATATTATACTGTTTGGCCTCTCGACGTGCGAATTCATTCGGATGCGCGTGGCGGTCCTACTCTCTCCTGAAACGGAGTATATATACATTTATATACTCATAATATGTTTACCTAACATTTAGGTTTTAATTTATTAATTGCTATTTTTTTGTTTTATAGAAAACTTCAAAATGCTTTGCATTGAAAAAAGTGAACAGAGAAAGTTGTATTGTGTTAAGGGAACCCGATATTTTATCAAGTTTATCTCATGTAATTTTATAGAACTTAATATAATTATTGTATAAAATTTGTTTCTTTTGTTATATGTTAATATCAAAGCTTTTATGTCTAGCCGAATATTGTTAACATGGAAAATTTCATTGATACTACTGATGCAATTTACATAAGTTTGGAATACATGCCTGGAGGAACTCTAAAGCAACTAATAGAAAATACAAAACGTTTAAAAGAATCGGAATCAAAAATAATTTTGTATCAAGTTGCTCGAGCTGTTCAGTACTTACACAATAGGTCAATCGCTCACAGGGATCTAAAGGTAATTTTATAAATTTTAATCTTTTTTGATTATTATATGCAATTTAAAACGAGAGCATATTATATTTAAAACATTTTTTTTTTCAATTTCAGCCAGGGAACATTTTACTTTCCATTAAGTCTCCTATAAGTGTTGTAAAATTGGCCGATTTTGGCCTATCTAAGAAGATAACTGAAAACACACATTTAAAAACATTTTGTGGTTCATTAGCATACCTTGCGCCAGAAGTATTTTCTAATAGAAAAAATATTACTCAATCATGTATTAAATATACTAATAAAGTAGATTCATGGAGTTTTGGTGTTATTTTATATGAATGGTAAACAACTGTCTATTTAATTTTAGTTAATTAACAAAATTATATGAAAATTTAAAAAAAATTATTATTTTTAGTTTAAGTGGTTATAAACCTTTTGCTGGTGATCATATTGAAGAAAAGATTTGTAAAGGAGTATACAATATAACTAAACTTAAATTGTTTAACATTTCAAATGGCGCACAAGATATAATCAAGCAGTTATTAACAGTGGATTATAATATGAGGTTTGATTTTGATAAAATATTGAAACACATTTGGTTTGAAAAAGATATGCTGATGAAGGAAAAAGTTGGAAACCTTATTGCTGAATTTTCAAATAGCTTAAAGCCAAGTAACAAATTTTCATCTAATAAAGAAAATGTTACAAAAAAAATTAAGTTTTGTTCTTGCCTTACACAAGACACTTGTTCCGAATCTGAACGTACCTGAATAGATTTAAGTATATATTTAAAAGGTATATAAGAACTATTATTTTTTTTTGTTTATCTTTATGAATTATTACTTAATTATGTTAAGTTTATTTTAAATTGTATACATTATTTTTCTGTTATTGGCTGTATATAGTTATTGAAGTCAAAATGTTGACTATTTATTCAATTAATATTGTGTTTAATATTAAAAAGATGACATAATTTATACTACTTTCACGCTTTAACAATTTTTATTCTTAAAATCATAATATAAACATGAAGCATTAAAGGATATTCATGAAACTCCATGATCATTAATACTTAATATACATTTATTATCTAAAGGTATGTATACACTTTTTGGAATATTTATACACATCTGTTGTTGTTGATTTATTATTGTAGTGATCATTAATCTTGTGTTGGGTGTATGAAACCAATATTTTCCAATAGCGGGCTTGAAATCATTTGTAAAATCACAATTTTTCACAGCTAAATTTGTTACCAAAATTGTCGCATTTTTATTGCATAAATATTTTAAAACTGAACTTATATGATTTATATAGCATAAACCTAAAAAAAATAAATAAATAAAATGATATTGAGATTAGTTGAAATATTTTCAATTTACCATCATTCTTATACAATCCTATAAATGATAGGTATAGTGCAGGTAGAGAATCTATGATTATGATAGAGTCCAATTTTTCTTTTAGACTATGTAAGCAAGTTATTAAATTGTAAATGTCTATAACCGAGAACACATGAATTTTCTTCAAAATATCATTGATCTATAAAAATATAACTAAATTAATTTTCAATATTAATAATTAAATGTTATTTTTAAACATACATACTTCATTATTTGTCATATTTTTATTTTTCAACATTTGTTTAATTCTTTTCACAGAAAATTTGTTTCTAGTATCTATGTAAACTATATCTTTTTTTGTAGTTATTATAATATTTAATAGAATACTAATACTTAGTTGAGTTTTTCCACAAGCAGATGGGCCACATAGTTCATATATGTTACCAACAAATAATCCTCCATCAAGTAGGTTATCTAATCTAAATAATTTTAATTTCATTAATAGGTATGTATACTTTATACAAACATTTCTTATTACTTAACAATTCCAGTTGGAATGAATGTCGATAATGTTTTACTTAAATAAAGTGTGTGTCCATTAATTAATGGTGATGAACACTTTACTGTCATAGTATCTTTTAGTTTTGTTATTTCCTGAAACAAAATAATTAATTTTAGGATACCTACATAAATGCTGGAATTTGAACAATAAAACTAAATTGATATTTTATTTAAATAACTTCTGTAATATCAACAAAGGTGGACAAGTTGATGAAAATAATAAACTCAAGTTACAAGTTAATAGTTAACAAACAATTTATGTAACTATCGAAGTTGAGATAGCTTGGTGTTAATATGGAAAAAAATATTAGGTGTTAAAAAAGTGTATACTTTTTAATAACGTCTTAACTAGTTAATACCTACTCACCTTTGTTATTAAATGTAGTGTTTTAATGATAGCTATACTTAAGGTAATTCAAATTAAGATAGGGTTTTAAACATAATCTATGTATAATATTAGCATAAAGGTGACTACTGATTAAGTTATTACTTTAGCATATACTAATGTGATGGCAGGGGGCAGACCCATACCGACTTAACAGACTTCTGTAAATGTAAAATTTTAATAATTTTTTTTGATGTGCTACCATAAAAGCTATGGTGGGGGTGCTTAGCTAAGGGTGTAATATTTTCATGTATACACTTTAATGGTTAAGCTTTAGCCTGCATAGGTATTATATACAATTCAATAAATTCATATTAAATAATTAAGTCTAAACTTATTGTAGCGATTACCTTGCATTGTAATTTGCATACACTTTGCAAATTAGAAGTTTTCTTTTGGAGGAAGTCGTTTACCGTACAAATGTTTTTCTCGAATAGATTGTTGAGAACGTTTTTGTCAGGTACCAGAGGAACGTTCAATCGAATCATTTTCGGTATTTCTATCGGTAACGCAAATACGCAATTAGAAGTACAGAATAAATTTAATAAATCCTGCGATATATGTATATTGCATTATTAATAGACATTAAACGAGTTCACTGAACAGTACTCACTAAATACAGTTCAGTGAACGAACATGAGCAGTTGTTGTTACAGTCGAATGAAGTATGAGCGGTTGATTATTATCACGTACTATGACACTAAGAACTATGGCGTCACTTATTTTATAGGTAACAAGTAAAAACTAACAATGAACGAGTAACAACAATCTTCTAAAAGCCAGCAGCTGGTGTATGGTGCATGTATCGTGTCCCTAGTCGACGGTCGGTTTGGTATGCCTTACACTTCATAAAAAACGCATACAGCTCACAGTTAAACTCATACTTTAGGAATATCTAAAATCATATTATTATACTAGAGTAATCTAAGCAAATATTTTAAACCGTGATAGGCCTGTTTATTGATACGCTTCATGAAAAATAATCAGATACATACATAACCTAATACGTTGGGTTTTGAATGTGCCCGGGAAACTGAATGGCACATAGGAATTTCGCGTTGTTTACGTCTGGGTCGCATGGGTTGGTGGCACTGCGGCTCTTGTTATTGTTCCGGGGACTCGGTCGGCGGGGGGATGCGCCGCCGCCGTGAAGTTTTTGTTTTGTTTTGCTGTTGGGCGCTCACTCTCGATCGGCCCGTACTAGCTGCGCCCACTAAACAGCGAATTCTCGCAGTCGACCGCCGCCGGACGCCATATTGTCGTGCGCCTCTCTTTACGTGCATTTCGTCCGGGGAATCGGTCAGTACGTTTTTTCGAATCCGTGTGTTGCGATTATGAAATTCATTGCGCGCACCGCGTCATGTTCTAGTATTGTGCGTGCAAAATGTGCGGTAATTGTCTGAACAGACTCTTGTGATGGCTTGCGACCGATGGAGGGTAATCGCTTCGATCTTGGTAAGCATCTCAGTGGCAGACTCATCCGCCGCGAACAAAATGGCCGACCCGCCATTTCCTTCCGTTACGCTATTCTAACGCGTTCCCGTTTTTCTGGCCGCGTCAATGCTTTACCCCTTCGTCAATGTTGTGGGAAATCCACTTTGGACACTATTTTTTCACCCGATTGCCAAAAATTATGTCGGCAATACATTTTTATCAAATAATAATTTATCCCGCCTATTATTATTATTTGTGTTATTATTGAATTTCTGTTTTCAAAACATAACCTCTAATCTCTAGATAAAATTTAATTTTGTTAATTTGAAATAAGGAAAAGTTAATGACAATTAACTTTGATGTCGAGAAGATAACTTTTAAGGCTTCTTGATTAGGATATTGGTTTTAAAGAGTTGTTTATATCTTACCCCTATTCGTAAACTGCCATTAGAGGGTAAATCAACATGTGCTTGTTATTTTTTAATTTGAAATTTCAACGTTTGAGTTAATAAATAAAGTAGATACATTTTGGTTTTATACGTGTATTTTTATACTACCTTATATAAAATTAGGTATTCAAAATAAATCATATGGAACAATAGATTCAAGTTTGCCTAACAAATTATAAATTAACAGATCAATTTTAAATAAAAACATTTTAGTTAATTCAAAATGCTAATTATTTATTTATTTATTCAAAATAAAACTAGATTTCTTCTTATAATTAGTTATTTGTAATATTCTATAATTATATTACAAATTAGTTAGATTATCTAAATTAGTTGTTTACATACTCTAGATGATATACCATATCCTCTAAATAGGTCCACTTCATACAATAGTTCAAAACTGAATTACTTATACTACATACTTATAAATATTATACGTACATATGTTACTATACTGTGGATTAATTAATTAATTTTGTTTCATTTGTCTTAGATAAACTAAATGGATAATCCAAAAGCGATTAATAATTGTTCAGAACCTAAAATCATTTATGGCCACTGCTTCCCAACTGGGAGCTGGGACCATTGATTGTCACAAACATAATAAATATGATGGAAATGGCCATCAGGTAAACAGTTTTTTATTTTTGTTTTTATAGGGTCAATTTAATATTAGTATTATATTAGAAAAATTATAATTGGAAATAAATATTTGAAAGTGACCTAAATTAATCATAGAAAACAATTTAAACCCTCTTAATACCGGTCTTGATTTCTTAATATTAATAATTTAATAATTTGTATACGAATCATATCATTGTTTACATTATTTTGATTATATAAGTAGTCAGTCAAATTCATGGATTATTTAATGAACAATTTAATAAGATTTTAAAATACCTAAAACAACAAACAACTCTCATTTTATTTATTAGTTTCTAATTGAAGCTTATATTCTGAGATACCGTCAATATTAGTTTATTAATAATACTATACATTATTTGTATCATAATTTTACATTAATAAGGTAGGTAACCTAGTATTTTTTTTAATAATTTTTATATTTTGTAAATAAAGACATTCAATTAAATTACATTTTTCATGCTTGTCTACCCACATAAAATTATGTTTCTAGTGTTCACCAATAATTCCAGCATTACGTATAGTTATAGATGAATTGAATATTAAATACTTGGTAAGAATTTTGATAACATTATTTAAAATTTTAATTCATTATTTAAGTTTAGACAAACAAGTTCTTTCAATATCTATTTCTAGTCTACTCTATTCCCTGTAAGTTTACCCAGTTGCATATAGAGCTGCTAGAATGCTCAGACCCCCTTGGTCGAAGACTAGCGATCTGTGATTGGTCGGCGTTGTTTGGCGCTCATCATCGTAGTAGGCATCTGCATAATATGGTTACCGCTAACGCTCTTTTCGATGCTGCAGCATTTCATTGAGTGAGTGGGTAAACTTACGAGGAATATAGTATAGAGTCATTCTTAAACCATGTTCAAAAACTTGAAACTTTTTTCATTTATTTTTCAAAATTGTTCTATACCTAACCTATATTATTTATTAATATTTTTTTAGGATTCCTCTATTTATTAATGTTTAAATTTTATTTTATAGGTATGTAATTATATATTATTTATTTATGTTTCTTTTTAGGTGACATCTGGTGTAAACTATATACCAAATAATTGTGATAATCTAATTGGTGTAAATGGCTCTGCAAATGATGCTGAAAACACCAGCTACAACTCTGACCATGATGATTCTGTGGATAGTCAAAATCAGAGTACACGGAAGCGTAAATACTCTACAGAATGTATGTTTTAAATTTATTTTACTATTGACCCTAACAGCTGACACTGTTTATAACTACCATGTTATTATGATAGCAGCCAAAGAGTTTGAAGCTTTGGAAATGTGTACTTCAGCCAAGATTAAACGTACTTGTGAAATGGTGTTTGAACAACTGGAGACTGTACGTGCAAAGCTTGCTCAATCCCAACGAGAATTGGACGAAGTACAGTCGGTGTCGAAATTTCATGATTTTATATCTGAAAAAGTTGAACAGGTATTCAATGATCAGCATGTATGGTCTATGGCAAATGTTAAATGTGATGACGATCCTTTATTTAATGGTGATCCATTTGCCGACCTTAAACTGTGGTTGGACAAACAAGCGTCCGAACCACAGGAAACACATGTTCCAGTTTCGGACACTAGTAAGTACAATTTTAAACTATGAGGGACAATTGAAATTATATTAAAATAAACGTATCCTTGTTTAATTAGGTAAATTTTTGATTGTTCTATTCTTTTATTTTAGAAATTCTATGTTATTTACAATTTTTTAATTTTAATAATAATATGAAAAATTAAAATTTCAGAATCCAATAAATTAATATCTCCTAACTCACCTGCTGAAGAACTTCCTAATTCATCTCATACACCTCGGCAGTCTAATGAAAATCAACCTGATCAAGTGTTTGAAAGAGTGAAATGGGTTAGTTGCATTTTACAAGTTTTTTTATTTAGATACTTGATTGATCTAATTTTATTTTCAATATTTTATTTAGGAGGCACAAATTATTCAAAAAATAAATCAACTTCAGCGTGATGGTTTGTGGAGTGAAAAAAGACTGCCTAAAATTTATGAACCTCCAAGAAATAAAGCACACCATGACTATCTTTTGGAAGAAATGCAGTGGCTTGCTACTGATTTTGCCCAAGAACGAAAATGGAAGAAAAAAGCAGCTAAACAAGTAGTTTTCTTTTAAATTATTTGTTTTATATTTTAATGTCATGCATAACTTGTATACTTTTCTTATTCTTAAGTGCGCTAAAATGGTTATGAAGCATTTCCATGAAAAGAAAATAGAAGCTCAGAAAGCAGCCAAAGCATCTGAAATGCATCAAAAGCGTATAACGGGTTTCATTGCAAAAATGATTAAAACATTTTGGAGTAATGTTGAAAAGGCATGTACAAATATAGATTGAAACTGTATTTAAACTTAAATAGCTATGATTTTATGAACAATATATATTCATTTAGTATAATTATTTATTTTTCTACTTTTGTTTAGCTACTTGTATTCAAACAATCCACTAAATTGGAGGAACAAAGAAAAATTGCATTAGACGAACATCTAAATTTCATTGTTGATCAAACTGAAAAAATGACAACTATGGTTGCTGAAAGTTTAATGAAGTCTGCTAATAACTCTTCGATCACCCCATCACAAAATTCATCCATGGTTATATCTGAAGGTAGAATTAAATTATTATTTTTGATTGATAATATTAAAACTAAATTTCATTTAAAATGTTAGCATTGTTAGTAAAATTGATGTATCACACTCAAATCATATAATATATATATTTATATAAAATTAGAAACACTTATAAATTATAAAGTTTAATGAGTATACCTACTAGTGATATTAAAAGCATTTTTTTTTATTAGGTAAAAGAAATGATCAACACTCATCATCTGATGATAATATTACTGTAGATAAAGATAAAATACTAAATGAGAATATGGGTTGTAAAAAGGAGATTGATATATTGAAACAAGAATCAAAATTATCAATTGATGAAGTCCTTGAAAAAAAACCAAAAGGTTGTTTAGAAACACAGGAAAATGAAGTGGTTGAAGAGGTTTGTTTTATTTTTATTTTTTATTATATTATTCTATATTTCAATATATGTGTGTTAACAGCAGATACCAAGTGATAGAAGTGAGGATGAAGATTTTGAAGCATCAAATTCCAGTTGGAGTGATGATGAAGAAACTTTACAGCTCGCTGAAAAAGAAGACGGTCGAATAGATCATTCTATAGAAATTGCTGAATTGGAGGTAAAAAGAATTCCATAAATTATATAGGTATTTTATTTAGTTTATGAAAGGATGGGTTCACACACATTACCTCTGTAAAGCAATGATTGTACACCAAACAGAAATTATTGATTTCAGAAAATGTTTATTTGTATGTTAAAGTTATAGGTACCTTTTCTATATTTTATAATTATTTATATTGATGTAGAACGAAATAATTATAATATAAATTTTATATAATTTTTACTAGGCTTCAATGATATATTGATGAATTTCGATATTTTTTGTTTTGTGCAATATTGAAAAACTAATTTAGGTATCAATATATCTATTCCCAATTATTGTGTTAACTCGAAAATAATATTTTTAAAATATATTATACTAGTTCTTTGACGTTAAAATCAGTTAGTTTCCGATAACTCAAATACCCAATAGCCAGGGACCACCATTCATTAAAAATTAATTTTGATTTCGAAGTGTTCAATATTGTACAATTTATTTTAAGTATCAATTACTGGGATTATCGATAAATAATTTTCAAAAAAAAGTTAGCGATATTGAATCAAACTATCATTGAATAATCATATTGTTTACTATTTGCTTTAAAGCCTCTTCAGTCTGGTCTATAATCATCTTCTTTCTATGGTTTCCTTGGAATATTTGTATCAGTGGTTCACACTGTCAGCTTACTATACTCTGTCCCACGTGAGATCATAATGCTCACCAACCAAAATTGATTCCATGCCATAGGGGAATTAGTTTTGATAGCTGGGTGACGTGGGCTGTTGCGCAGGACCGGCATTTTCTCTTTGGACAGGGTTTAACTGAATCCTGGATGCCCTTATAAAATCTAAGCTCTCAATTTACCTTTTGACAAAGACAGTTTACTCGTAATCTTATGGAATTTTGTCCAGTTTTAAAATTAAAAATTCTCAACCATGAATAACATGGTTCCAGGTTTTCAGTGCCTTTGGTGGTGCTTAATGAGACTTGTCATTAATTTGTAAATTGTCATGCTCTTTCTTTCTTCCACTAGATCTAATTTAAAAATTCTATTTCCTTCTCGTTTGCATTTACCTATTCTAATGGTTTTTCCTTATCAATTTTATCCAAATTAATGCTGTTCTGCTTCATTCTCCATGTTGTATATTTTAAAACTTAAAATATTTAGCTTAACCTTTGTTCTTTTGTTAATGTTAGAAATATACTTTTTAAACTTTAATTTATTTTCATTAATTTTGAGTTACATTAAATTATATATTTATTTTTTATATAGGCTGAGAATGAAATGAGCATTGAACAACTTTTGGCTAAGTATAAAGTTCAATTACCAAATAACAAAGATCAATCTGATGATGCAGAAGAGAGTAGCCAGTCTGACCATAGTTTAAAGGAAGACATGAATTCTACCGATATTAGTATAAAATATCTCTTGCGGCGATCTCCTAATAAAATGGTGAATTTTAAATTATTGTTGTAGATTTCACAATATTATACTTGAAGTATAAACTTGTTATTTTAATAGATCAACGGCACAAGTGACTGTAACGCAGATAAAGAAATAAACGATGTGACAGCATTAGCTGAAAGTATCCAACCTAAAGGAAATACACTATCTTCTACTAGTGTAAGTAATATAAAAAAAAAAATTCTATTCCTGTCAATTTACTTATTTGATCTTCTATTTTTAGGTGGTTACTAAGGTTCCATTTTTATTGAGAAATACACTTAGAGAATATCAACATATAGGCCTTGATTGGTTAGTTACAATGTATGAACAAAATCTAAATGGTATATTAGCTGATGAAATGGGCCTTGGGAAAACCATTCAGACCATAGCCTTATTAGCACATTTGGCTTGTGATAAGGGTATGCTATCAAATGTTTATAGAAATGCTCATAATTTTAATCTCAATTTTTTTTGCAGAAGATTGGGGTCCTCATCTAATCGTAGTTCCTACATCTGTGATGCTTAATTGGGAAATGGAAATAAAAAAGTGGTGTCCTAGTTTTAAAATTTTAACTTATTATGGTTCCGTTAAAGAACGAAAAAATAAGAGAATTGGTTGGACAAAACCAAATACATTCCACATTTGTATAACATCGTACAAATTAGTAATAACCGATCATCAAAGTTTTCGCAGAAAGAAATGGAAATACTTAATTCTAGATGAGGCACAAAACATAAAAAATTTTAAATCTCAACGTTGGCAACTATTATTAAATTTTCAGTCTGAAAGGAGACTGCTTTTAACAGGAACACCTTTGCAGAATAATTTAATGGAGTTATGGTCATTAATGCATTTTTTAATGCCAAATTTGTTTGCATCACATCGTGAATTTAAAGAATGGTTTTCAAACCCTGTGACTGGAATGATTGAAGGGAATGCAGAGTATAATGAAAACATTATAAAAAAATTGCATAAAGTATTAAGACCATTTATTCTCCGAAGATTGAAGTGTGAAGTTGAGAAACAGTTGCCAAAAAAGTATGAGCATATCATTATGTGTAGATTATCTAAACGCCAGCGATATTTGTATGATGACTTCATGTCAAGGGCTAAGTATGTTTCAACATTCTTTACGGTTTTATTAATTCTTTTATAATTACTTAATAAATGTCCAAATTTATTCTAGGACGAAGGAAACCCTTGCGAGTGGTAATATGTTGAGTGTCATAAATGTTCTTATGCAACTTAGAAAAGTTTGCAATCACCCCAATTTGTTTGAACCTCGTCCAACCATTTCTCCATTTCAAATGGAAGCTCTCACATATACAGTCCCTCGTTCCATATTCAACATAATGGAATATGATCCTTATAATGTAAGTCATCATAAATTATAAAATCATGGATGTAAAAAATCTTGTAAAAACATTAAAGAATTAATCATAAAAATGTTTTTTATATGTTGTAATAGGCAATTGATTTAAGTTCTGTAAATTTACTATTTACCAACTTGGAACGATTAATGAGTGCATGGGCAGCTCATCGTCTAAAGCGTTATCAATTACCAAATTGTGTATATGAACAATTTGATACTTTACCTGATACACCCATAAGACTTCCTAAAATTAAAATGAATTTTAACATGAAGCTGCCTAAAAACTTAAATATCATATCTAAGGTAATTAATATTTAATATAATATAGCTATTTATACCTCAATTAGGGTTTTGTTTGTTCTATATTTGAATCACAAATCTTAAGTTTGTTATTCCTAAAATATATTTAAAATAGCACAATATATGGACATTCTTTGTTTTGGAATAGAACTAGTATGATATTTTCACAATTGAAACTCAAATATATGCTATTTTTTGTGTTTCATTTGAATTGTTAATATAAAGTAAAATATGTAGGATATTTGAATGTTATTGTAACATAATGGTCAAACAAAGATTCTGAATCTGAGGGTAAAATTAATTACAGTTATACAATGATAAAAAATCAATTATATTGTTTTTTAGATCAATTTATGTAATCCACAAAATAAATTAGTTAATGTCAGACTTAAACACAATTTACCAATTGTGAAATTTTTAGCAGAAAAAGGAATAAGAGGTGAGTTCTACATTTTTTGTTTGATTTTTTAATTCTTTTAATTATTGATGTGTTTTTGTTTAGATTTAAAACTGAGATCTGTTGATAGTAATATATCGAGACTTCCACCTTATACAAGTATGTTGTGTAATTTATGTCTTATTTAGTCATTTGTTAATTAAGTTAATTAATTATTTGCATACTATAGATATTTCATCATTAACTCCTAAATTAAATCAAATCAAACAATATCTTAATGTAAACAATCAATGTGATCCTAATGTGGTAAATAATCGAACAAAAAATATCAACCATGTGCCAAGCAATGACCTGAAAACGTCTACTCCTAAATGCAATGGTTCAATAGAAGGTTAGTTATAACAATTGTTTTATTAAAAACTATTAGTTAAATATATTTTTTTAAATTATTTATTTAATTATTTAAGTCATAAATAAAAAAATAAGAAACATCTAAAGTAATTGAAAATGAAACAACTTCAAATTAAGTATTCAATATATGATGAAGATTTAATTTTGAGGTTAATGTAGTATGGGTACAATATTTTTCTTGTACTTAATTCACCAAAAGTATGTGGTTACGCCCAACCGTCATTATATGTCTTACCCCGTCATAACCACTCAAATTCCCTCTTCTCGATACCAGTTATAAAACTGTGTCAAGTACCCACATTCTCTTGGTGAACCTATTGTAGGTGAATATTATCAAATGTACTTAAACTACCGTATGCATTGTAGATCAATTTGTATTCATGAGAATACTAATTTTTGCACCAATGCTATATTACTGTGCTAATATTTTACTTTTGCATCATAATTGTATTTATAATTTTTGATGAAACATAACATTTTTAGCAGATAGTTAAAAACAAATTGTCATAACCACTCAAATCCTCTCTTCTCGACACCAGTTAAATTACTGTGTCAAGTAACCACATTCTCTTGTTGAACTGATTATAGATGTATATTATCAAGTGTATTTATACTATTGTATGCATTGTAGATCAATTTTTATTCATGAGAATACTAATTTTTGCACCAATGCTATATTATTATGCTAATATTTTACTTTTGCATCATAATTTTATTTATAATTTTTGATGAAATATTACATTTTAAGCAGATAGTTGAAAATAATTTGGAGAACTAAAAGTTTTCGGTTTTCTATTTAAGTTGGTATAGAACAAGTAGTATTAAAACAATAAATTGTTCTATTATATATTGAATAAAATACATTACGACTTTGGTCATCCTAATTGCAAGTGGTAATATCAAGGGAAATTGAAATTGATTTTTTTTAGAATTTGTTCATAATAAAATTAATTTGTTTCCGTGAATACTTTTTATTTTACAATTTATTTGTATATCATCAACTTGGCTTTGCAGTATACTGTAAATAATTGATTTTGTTATGTGAGCTTTAATTTGTTGAGCCCATAGTTTTGTTTACAGTTCTTTGCACAATCTAGTCATTGACCATCATTGTTTCCTCGTCGCCAAATGCCTATATAATTTACTATATTCAGTTTTTTATCTTTTATTTTGATAGTGAGAGTTTTTAATAACTACCTATATAAAAATTATCTAATGTGTATTATATAAAATAAATGGTATTTAATTAAGTTGATATAATAAATGCTTTCCGTCATTCTTAGTAAATATTAATTTCTTATAAAATTCTTTAATTAATTTTAATAATTTGATTCATTGTTTAAGGTAAATCAAATTCATATAAAGGTTTTGATAGTCATAATGTAAATGAAGGTGTAATAAATGTTCGTAACAAAAATGAAGTTCTAAACATTTCAAAATGTTCCAAAAGTCCATCAATAGTATCTAAATCTAGACCTTTGATAGAAACAAATAAGGAACTGACCGGTGACGTTCTTTTCCATGATGTAAGTTTCGATATTTTAAATACATTTTCATAAGTTAATTATTTTTATCATTAACTTTTTCAGCCTAATTTAGAAGAAAAACGAATTTTGAGGAGAAAAATGAAAATGGATAATTTATCATTTATAAATAACAAAAGAATAGATGGTGCTACAAATGTTGTTTATGGTCAAGATTTAAGAGATTTTATAAGATTTGATGCGTCGTCCGGTCATGTTGGTTGTTCAGATTCAGTGGAAAGGAACCCTTGGCTTTGGCTTGGTTCAAATAATGTTTTATCTGTTGTTGCTCAGTATTCTGCTCACATACAGCGGATGTCTTACATGACTGCAGTTGCTTTGTCTGATTCAGTTAAAACATTAGATAGCAGAATGAAAGAATTACATGACTCTTTTGAACAATTTATTGTGTATGTGCCAGCTGTGCAGGGAAGAACTCCAAAAACCGAATTTCAATTTCTTCAACATGATTCATCATTATTAGAAAAAGATATAAAACCAACATTAAATGCCTTGCACCCCATTATTTCAGCCATGAGCGTTTTATTTCCTGATCAAAGGTTAATTCAATACGATTGTGGTAAATTACAGTCACTTGATTACTTACTACGTGAACTAAAAACTGGGCATCATCGTGTACTTATTTTTACTCAAATGACAAAAATGTTAGATATCCTAGAAGCATTCCTCAATTTTCATGGTTATATATATTTACGATTAGATGGTACAACAAAGGTTGAAACTAGACAGGTAATTTAAATAAAAATATATACACCTTTATTTTACTAACATATCTTTGATTATAGCTTTTAATGGAGAGGTTTAATGCAGACAAAAGGTATTTCTGTTTTATTTTATCAACACGATCTGGTGGTGTTGGTATAAATCTTACTGGAGCAGATACTGTGATATTTTATGATAGTGATTGGAATCCTACAATGGATGCTCAGGCTCAAGATCGCTGTCATCGTATCGGTCAAACTCGAGATGTTCACATTTATAGGTAATACAAAATAAGTTTTATATAATTTTTTTTTGTTTTACACTATTATTTACTATATATATGTTCTTCAATTGATGTTTTTGTTTAGATTAATTAGTGAAAAAACTATTGAAGAGAATATTCTTAAGAAAGCAAACCAAAAGAGATTATTAGGTGATTTAGCTATTGAAGGTGGTAATTTTACTGCTTCCTTCTTCAAGTCTGTAAGTATATATTATTTTCACTTTATTAATTTTAAATTTTTGTAATCATTTTCTTCTATTAACCTATTAAAGCTTTGTTGTAAAGCTTGCTATCCTATTCTTTATGTTTTATTGTTCATTTTTTTTTAAATAATATTAATTTTGGTATTCTTTTTTTTAAGACAACAATTCAAGATCTTTTTAAAGTCAACACAACTGATGAGAAAAGAAGTGTTCATATATTGGAATCTGAATTTTCTCATGCTCAAAGTACAAGCGATGGTGATAGAATTGCTATTAATGTGTTTGAAACAGCTCTTGCAGCTGCAGAAGATGAGACTGATGTTGCGGCAGCTAAGACTGCAAAAGAAGAAGCTGTTGCAGATTTGGCTGAATTTGATGAAGCTATTCCTATAGTAGAACAAAATGAAGTTAAACTAAGTAAAGCAGATATGGAAGTTCAAGCATTAGAAAAACAGGTATAGATACATTAAAAAAAAAAAATAATTTATATTGTTGATTTTAAACATTAAAGAAGGAAAATAGTGTCTTAAATCTGTGCTGTTTAGTAGCTCAATCGCCGGGCAAACAAGAGACCTAGGTTTGGTTCATGATCCTGTAGCCTAATTTTTTACATTATTTTCCTGGTAGATGTTAACATGATCATAATAAATAAAGATTTTATTTCTTATATAACATGTATATAATTTAAAATAGTTTTTCAATAATTATATCTTTAATCGAAGTTTTTAATACTAATTTTTAATTACTCTTCTTTCTTAGTTATCTTGTATTGAAAAATGGGCTATAAGACTTATGGAAAATAATGAGATGGATTGGGCAACTAAGCAAGTAGCTTTTGCTGAAGCAGAATTGGAACAACAAAAACAAGAGTGGAAAGTTGAACAACAACAAGCAGCTAAGCGTACAGAAGAAAGAATGAATCAAAAACGTAAACTTCCGGATTCTGAGGATGGAGAAGATGATTCTGTGGATTTGACATTCACCAATAAATTTCAGGTTAACAAACGACATAGTATTAGAACTAAAAACATAGGTAGTAGTAAGCAAAATGATAAAAATCCTACTACTAAGAATACGGAGGAATGGCACTTAGAAACAAAAGCGAGGAAGAAAAGCAGTTATGGTCTTAGACCTCAGCGATTATAAACTATACTATTTTTAGATTTAATGTTCTTAACTTGTTTTGTTCTCTCCCAATAGAGAAGTTTTTTATCTTTACAAATAATGGTTATTAACACAAGACAAGTTAATTTAAATTTTGTAAACAACTGTACATTTTTATATAAAATTAAAAATATATTTAATTTCATGTGTTATGGTTGTTTTTCTTTTTTTTGTTTCTTGATAGCTTCTCCACAAGGTTGGGCTCTGTTTTGGTGTCCCTCATTAGAAGCAAACTCTTCTCTAGCTCTCGCAGTGCGTTGATTTAGAATTTTTATTTTTATATAAGTTTTTAAACTTAATTTTATGCTGACACTATCGTAATTCATAAAAAAAAAAAAAAAAAAATGTTTGTAAAATGTTCGCTATTATTGGAAATCTTAAGCCGATCGTTTTTTTGTTTGGTCTGGCATAGAGGTTGTCACCAAAACACAAGCCCCTCCTTGCCAGTCCAAACAGGACTGGCAAATGAGACTATCCGAAACAAATAAAGAAAAACATCGTATCGCACAGAGAGCAAGAGAAGACGACTTCTGATGATATGATGATGCTGACAACAGTTATTAAATGAAAGGTAATACATTGTTCAGCAAGTAAAACATGACATAAGTGTAAAATACATTTCTTTACAAAACAATTATAGTACATTTTTTGATAATGGCATGGATAACTCCTCCATGGTAGAAATGTGGTTAGATTATGTTTAGTTCTTTCAATATCTTAATACTGTTAAAATATTAGTATGATGACAGTCATCATCAGTCATAATAAGTCTGAACTATGCTTCTCTAACTAATATTTAAAAAAAAAAAAAAAACCTAAGTAAAATAAAATATAATTATATATTAGTTGTGGGACAGCTATTTTTTATGTTCAATGGGTGTAGGTGTAAAACATTTTTATAGCTAAGCTTTTTAACGCATATTGCGTTAGGTAATAAAATCTAAAAAATTGTCACGCGGCAGCTGTCTCCCCTTCAACTACGTACACTGCAGCTGCCGGTCCATCCCCTCCCTGTCCTGAGCGCTGCTGCTGGGCAAGATAGAGTGATAGGTCAATCTATATATATAAATATACACTGTTTCTTTGTCTGCACAGTAGCCAGCTTATTGTTTTAGTTAGGATACACTGACGGATGCTAACCCGACTCGATATAGCACTATGTTGGTATTAAGCAATCAACATCATGGAGATGCGGCTCATGTGAAATTTAAATAAGGCGTCATAAAATGCTTCGCTTTAGTCGAGGTTCTCCATCAGGGGGATAATAAAAATATTATAATCAAAAAAAATATGTATCAGAATTGAAATCCGTCTTGTGAAAGGAGCGAGGAATTGCTCCCGATGCTACCTTTCCCCATGAATATGCCACTGTTTCTTTTGACATTTATAATCTTATAAGAAAGTAAAATGTTTGCATTTATGACTAGTTTATAATTATATTTATAAGCTTTAATATTAAGACAATTACTAGAACATCTCAATGACAATTTCTAGTGTCATGACATTTACTCTGAACTTTAAATAAATTAACAATTTGTTTTTTTATTATTTTGTGTAATTTTTAACTTAAACGATAAATTATAATTAGGTGTTTTATTAAAATTAAATTAAATGTTTGAGTACACAATATTGTCACCATGATAATAACTATTTTAAAGGATAGATCGTTGCTTATGTATTTCGTCTTTTCACAACTGTTTTAAGTATTTGCCCGTGAAATTGTGATCCTTGGTGACAAATATAAAATAAAATAAATGGCAATTAAATTAAGTTTTTAAAACAAATTAAGTTGTACAAAATCATAAAAATATTTTTTATTTAAGAAGAAAGAATGATGTAATTTATTGCTTAAATTGTCCCACAATAAAATATATATATTTAAAATCCTGATTATGTGTCCATGAACATGGGATTAAGTTTTGATTAAAATAAGGCTGTGAGATGGAATAAATTCTGTTATTAATCAAATAATTATAATTGAAAAATTACGGCCTTATGAGTTCTGGTTTATGTAGAAGAATGTGACAAAAACATAACTGTTTTATTTGTGTAATAGTGTAGACAAAATTATAACATTTTATTAGGACAGGCCAAATGATAAATATGAAGAAAAAAAATTCTTACTACAAAATAAGGTTTTTATTTAAATTTTATTAGGTCTGACTGACTTGACCCATAGTTAAGGACTATGAGTAAATAATCCGCCAATTTTTTGGTTAAAGACACCACAACAAAATTCCTGCACTTGATAAAGACTACACAAAATCTTCAGTTTCTTTACAGGCACTTCTAAGAATGTTTGTTTAAACATTGTTTAATGAGATATGGACAATTGAAGAAAAACTGCAGCATTACATGGTTTAATTGCCAGTTTTTCTTCTTACACTTACTTGTTTCACTAGATAGTTTTTTTTTTTTTTGTATAATTGAGACTGGTAAAATTCTCATTCTAATTCCACAAATCTGGGTAATTTTTGTTGCTATTGTAAGTACTAAGTCTGTGATTGCTAATTACTATTATTTTTCCTGACGAAATACTTTTTGCATAATTAAAATAGATTTTTATGTTCATATGAAGCCACACTGTTCAATACATTATTTTTAGGACCTCTTAAAAATTGAACTTATGTCTTTACATTATTTTGGTATTGATATCAGCTTACGTTTAAATGATTGTTCTCTATAAAATAAATTATATTATAGGTGGGGTTTATGTGCAAAATAAGTAAGTTAAAATGTTTAATTCTGTCAGACAATCAGAATTTTTCAAAAATTTGGGGTTAATAAGGTTCTGGAATATAAAATATTTATTACTAACCGTCCGGTGTTATTGAATATTTCAATCCCGATTTTTTCATATAAGTTGTATTGAATATTACTGCGTTTTTGGATAAGGGAGGATATCTTGATTAATATGAATCAAAGCATGATTTTTTCACATCACTTTTCTACCAATAAATTTTTACATAATGTATGTACTACAGTTTGGTACTTGTAAATGGTGGATATACTTATAATCATTTCTTGTAAATTAATTTATTACATAACATTAGAATATGTAGTCAATCGTGATCATCGTGATCATCGTAAACATTTCTGAAATATGCAGTCCTGTAATGTAACTTTCTAATTATGAAAAAATATTTATATTTCTACAAAACTTATTTCCATGTTACCAAGCAAGATAGATGAGAAAAATCACTAACATGCTAGCTATACTTATATAATCAAATAAAATGTGTTAATAACATGTATACAAAGTAGCATAAAATGGGAATGTGAGCATCGATGAATGTAATGTCATTAGCATAATTTAAAAGTATACCTTAAATAAAATATATTTTAGTAGCAGCTGTTTTTTTATGTAGTCTTACTTTTTTATATTTTGTACATTTCAAAATAGATTTCATTTATACAATATCTTATGAAACCTAAAGAACTTTCGTAATATTAAACTCATCTAATGAATATTTTTAGTTAGCTTGTTTAACAACATATCACAAATAGTTGTTCAAAACCTCAACTATAGCTGCTATTTAAAATTATATACCAATAAATTCTTGGATTACTTATATTCACCTCTTTACTGTCAATTTGTTTTTCATAAAATTGTATTCTTAATATGTATATTAATACCTTTCTCACATTGACTAATTGCAGTTTAATAACTCCAAATATAATTAATCAACCTTTATAAATTGAAGCTCAAAACAAAAAAAATATATATAGAATTAATTAAATGATGTATAACCTACAATTTTTTTTAAATATTTTTGAACACAATTTTACCAATTTGATATAATATGTAGATTACATGAACTAGTATTGATAGTCTATAAGTTTTCATCCTAAAAATGCTGAAGTACTTTGTGGTTCAAATAATGTTTATTGGGTCTTCAATTAATTTGTGAGTATTATTTTCTATTTTCAGATTGTTTATCCTAATCTTGGCTCAAAAAAATCTGATGTACCAAAGGTTAGTTGACTTAATTATATTTACATGGGAAAAAATGTACTCATTTTAATCCATTTTAAGAATTTAATCCTTGGACCATGGTCAGGAGAAAATGAAATCTATCACGACCCATTATACTTCGGTCAGTATTCTTATATACCAATGACAGAAGCTCAACTACCTCCCATTCCATCTGCTCGGAAACGACCAAGAACTGATGTCACATTTATAAACAGTATGTAATCATTTTCTATACTTAGTAACTACTGGAGTTACTACCGTATTACATTACTATTGCTATTCTGAGTTAACTCACTAAAAAAACCTCAACACTTAATATGTTATAACTTATAACCATACTCTATCGATTGAATGTCCATACTGTGAATTAATAATTTAACTTTTTCTCAGCACAAATTATATGATTACCATTTTTTTTTTTTTTTTTTTTTCATTAGACCGTTTAAGTTTACCTGTGTCATTGTCTTCAAGTACAAAATCAGCGCATGGAACACGCGATAATAATGCTGGTGAATGGAGACCTAATGAAAATATTTTTCCACACCTACCTCGATCCATGTTTGATCGTGCTTCTGGTGCATTGCTTAAGATGCGTAATGATATACGTATTCAGCGATATCGTGGTATTAATAGGCCCATGACCATGACTTTAGCGAGTTTGAAACCACCTTTACCAGCTCGACCTGTTCCTGAACCACCTCATGTACCAGACTGGCTTATACATGAAGATTATGCACTTCTGCAAGTATGTTATTGTAACTTTTTTTATATTATTTCTGAGTATTTGTACATTGTATTATATACTTTATATTTTGTTCTTAACTTAGGCTGTTCAAAGAGTGCAAGAAATGACATTGAATTTAGTAATATTATGCCCGGCTCATACACCTAATTGGGATCTAGTCTCTGAGCTAGTTAATATGATGTCTCGAGTCTATAGATCTCCTAAACAATGTAAAAATAGGTAAACAAGTTGTGTATTATTAAAGAAAAGATTTGTTAAAATTAATTTTATTATAGTTCAATAATAATATGGTTTATATATTCATATTAATTAGGTACGAGTCAGTGATAGTTGCTCGAGAAGAAGGTCGTATGCTACAGGAACAATTACTCAAGAAACAAAAAAAAGTAATATATGATATTATACAATTAAGAGATTTATTATTGGTTATTACTAATATATAATTATTAACTTATTGGTTAAATATTTTGTTAATGTTATTTGTTTTAATATCATTTATAGAAAATTAATCGAGGATTACGTACGTCCCAGATATATACAACAGATGGAAACCGTACTCATACTCAACTACTTATATCCCGTTTTAATGGCTTATTATCCGTTGCTGCTAAACGACAACCTTTGTGTCGAACTAACAGTCAATATGTACCCAGCCAATCGGCTAACACACCTTTAATTCCAAACGCTAGTCACATTGCAATATTAAAGGAAAATTATGAAGTAGACTATAATGTACCTTTGGGTCCAATGCAAGTAATAAGTCGCCGTACTGATCGTATGATTAGAGAAAAACAACAGCAACAGCACACTGAACCAACAACAGTTAGAGTGCAACCACAACCCCAAACTATAAAATCTATTCAGCTTCCTAACTCTTTACCACCAGCTCAAACTGTTAGTCCAGTTCCAGTTAGACCCTCACCTACTACTCAGCATCGAATTATTATGAGTTCTCCATCACCTTCTATTGTAACTATATTTTACCTGACAATATTCACATACTTTGGAATTTACTTCATAATCTATTTGTTTTATTATTAGGATGCAAATATACAAAATATACCTCAGACAAGTCCTAAGGTGGTTCCAATTCCAATGTCTGTTCATTATTCAGCTGCGGTTCAACGAGCACTTAATTTCACTCAAGCGTCCATTGTAACTCAAGCATCTTCAACAACTGGAAAAGGTATAACTGGTTTTATCAGAAAATTCAAAAAAGATAACTGGTGTTTAGTTTCCTTAAAATCTTGATGTTTATTTTTAATGAGTTACGGTTTTACTTTACAAATTTGTTAATTACATTATATGTTTGTTTCTTTTTTAATATACTATCATTTTTCCGTAGTTACTACAATGAACAAAACTATTACTCAATCTCAGATTCAAATGTATCGTCAACAACAACAAAATATAGCCAGACAACAACAAGTTAAGATGGTTAGTGCTCGTGCAACCAAAACGCCTACTGCCAATATCATTCCTGTCCAGACATCTCAAACACCAACTACTTTTAATGTCCGACCCAAAAACACATTAAATACTAGGAATATAACTGACACTGATGTTACAAATTTTATAAAAAGACATCAATTATTACAACAAAAACAAGCACAAACTGTTACCGTTCAATCACCTATCGCGACTGCAGGACCGTCAATAGTTAAAACATCTGTACAAAGTCTGATGCTTTCAGCTGGTGCTAAAAATGCTATAAGCGTTGCAACTGCTACAAAAAACATCAACCCTCAACAACAATTTAGGCATCTTACACTTCAGCAGCCTATGTTAGCCCAGAGAAAAATTCCTGCCCAAAAAGTTACTCAACTGAGTCAAGTTGTGGTAAATATACAATAGACAAAAAAAAAAGGATTTTCTATTACTTTTTAAAAACTAATTTCATTTTATTTTTAATAGGTGGCCGGTAAGACTGGAGTTCCAACACAATTGATAGTTCAATCTAAGGGTGTACCAAGCACAATGACTATGCAACAATTGCAGACTATGATGAAGCAACAAAATATCCAAAATGTTAGCGTAAGTATCTACAGTTTAAACAAAATAGACATAGAAGTCATAGATATTTAAAGTTTTGAATTGTATAACTATACTTTTTACACATACACTGGGTTAATTTGTGTTTTATCTAAAAATTAATTCCACTGTTAAACTTATACTAAAATTATAACTTTTAGATGACGCCATCCCTACCTACATATGTTGTCCCTGTCTGTCTCACAGAAGTACACATATAAAATTTTACATTCATAATAACCTTTTTACTGTTTATTTTTTTATTGAATTGACTTATCAAAACATTTTAAAGGTAGATTTTTTATCAAGGATCTCAATAAATTCTTTGATATTTTAATTAAGGAAAAGTAATGAGCAATTTAAATCTTTAAATTAAAAAAATGATTATAACTTGTTTCAAAATTGAAATATCATTATAAGCAACAAGATACGCAAAGTTTTAAAACTGACACCACTTGTGGGTGTGGCATCTTTAGCCAATTATATTAAAACAATAGTTTTTTACTCTTAGGTCTTATTTTAATTTTTTTTTTTTTCATTAAATTACTCAATTAAAAATAATTAGTGAACATAGTATACTAGATTCTGAACAGAGCTATAATATCATGATTTTACAATATGTAATTCTCGATAGTTTTCAAAAGCATTGAGAAAAAGAATGGGAACAATGAAAATGTTAAAACTATACCAGTTTTCAGTATCAAAAATGGTTTTAATGGTATAATTTGGGAATTAATGATTGTAGATACTTAACAATTTTCATAAGTTGTTATAAAAGAAGTTCAAAAATATTAAAGATGCAATAGCGCAATGATTATTATAAGCATTTAAATTTCACAATTTGCAAATTATTTTGTGGTTAAACATTTATAAAATGTTTTATAGCTAAGGATTGAAAATTAAAATTAAGGTTTCACAGAAGTAGTTATTACTGTAAACAAAATATCTAGAAAAAAAGTATTTAAACTTATAAACATTTTAAATTTAAATTTGGCCGAAATTGGATATTTAATAACAAAGAATGATAATTTCATTTATTTTATAATAATTTAAAAATATAATTCATGGGTACTAGTAACTTTTAAAGTATATTATTATTTTTATACATACACAATGGCATTTTCAAATGCAATATTTTCGACAAAAAATAATTCAGCCTATTATATTACTAATATTAAAATAAATTACTTTATCACAGTTATGTTACAAAATATATTGTGTAATTTAATTTGACTAGTTTTTATTTAAAATGATTTTAGGTCATTAAATTCAAGTTTAACACATCCATTACAGGGTCTCCTAATTAGCTATAAACAGTGCACAGCAATTTCCTACTCCCACATTTATTTATTTTATTCAAAAATAGCATTTTTTAGAATGAAAAAATAAATTTAAAATTCTTTATATTTAAAATTTCAGTTCAAATATTCGTTATTTGTACATATATTCATTACCATTTATTATTTAGTAATATCATTTTTGTAATAAATTTTTATTATATTTATAACATAAATAATAATTACTGCATGTTACACATATTTTTAGGTTTCCGGTGCTAATATAACTGCAATGCAATCCAATTCCAACTCAGGTCAAGTCATATCCCATGTCATTGCCAAAAGTCATGGACAGTCTTCAAGTATTGGGTTAACAAGAGTACTACCAGTAGTTACAACCCAAACTTCGTTAAAACAAGCAATTCAGGTACTATCATTATTGTTATAATTTTATAAATGTTTGTTTAAGATAATCTTGTACCCGCATGTGTTGCTCTGTCCTACACACATGTACGACATATTACATTTTTGTTTACCAGTCTCAATATTTTGTGCTGTTAGTTTTTATATTAGAGTGAATTGACCAATCATTAAAAAAATTACCCATTATACCAAAAACTTGGAACACACTTAGTGCCCGTATTACAATCCGATCGTTTAACTAAGGTTAAACCTCCGAATTCAGCCGGTAAATCAGTGGGTTAAGTAACTAAGATTAAACTATGATTGTAAAGCGGGCCCTTATACCACAACCTAAGGCGTCAATTAGCATGACCGCACGCAAATAGTGTTATACAATAAAGTTATCAGTTATCTCCTTATCGACTAATTGGCAATTGTGACATTAAGATAAATTTGTGAATCTTTTTATTTCAAAATACGATTATCTAATGTAGTTTATATCTATTTTTATTTCAATCTTGGGTAAATTTAAATTTTTTTTCTTGATTCAAGAAATAGGTTAAAAAATGCAAAAAAAAAACCAAAAAAGTATTCTTTTAGAATATTATGTACTTGAAATACATATTTTGTATTATTGAAAGAATTGTGTCAGGCATTCCAGTAAAAATATGTAAATGCATTTAAATCTGAGCTCCATATATCAATTATTATTGAATTAGTTTATTTACTAGCATTTTAAAATATTTTGTATAATCAACTATAAATAAATAACATTTATACATATTCCCATAAAAATGTTTTGCATCCAAATATGACTTCATCATAAGTGAAGTAAAGGTGAACTTGTCATATTATATATCAAGCTGAAGCTAAACCTGTAACTGGAAAAATAATTTTTATATACTCTAGCCGTCGTAAGAGTGCTTCTGGGCAGCGACCAAAATTTGTCCATTATCACGCATTCCCGTGTATTTACTGCGGCAACTAGGTGTTAGAGTGTCAGTTGAATGCTCAAAGGAGTAGCTCTCTTAGAGTGGCCCGACTATAGTATTTAGTATTTCAAATTATTTTTATTTATAGGTGGTTAATCCAGTTCAAACATTGAGAACATCTGGTGTTGGGATTGAAACAGCTCGTTCAACATTACAACCATGTTCTTTGACTAATGTATTTAAAACTACTGGAAATTCTGGACATTCTCCCAACATACTATCTCAGGTTTGAATATACAGTGATTATTTTTAACAGTTCATAATTAATATAACAAATAATATAAATGTTTAAAATATTTTGTACATCATTTGCAGCTATTATAAAACTACATATTTAGATTCTAAGCAATGAATATATTAATTTTACAATGTATTTTTTTTTATGTTTATGCATACATAATAAGTAGTTGAATTGATACTTGAAATATTCACCAAATGTTTATATTTGCATTTTCATAACTTTTCCATTATATTTTGAAAATTTTTCGAGTTATTGAGCTATTTATAGGCATACAAAAATTTAGAATTTTTTTTTTTATTATTGTTGATAACATTTTTTTACTTAGTCAAAAAACTTGAAAATGTAATATAAGGGTCCTCATAATTTGTTATAATAGCAGTTAAAAATGGATAAACTGTACATTTTTATAGTTAAAATTAAAATTGTAAAACAAAGTTTATCATAAGTAGTTCATATTGTAATCAAAATATTAATTCAATTTAATAACTAGATTACTCTAATAACAATTATATATTTAAACCAATCGAGGTGACTTGAAACGATCTTGACATACTTTTTAGTATTGAGCTTAAAAAAATTCTCACAGGGCTACAAAAATTATATTTATTTCCCCATATGTCTTATGAATAGAATAAAACCTTCAATTTTTAAAAAAAAATAATAAAAAATACGTGTTAATTTTTGGGTGACTTGTAACTATGAAAATTCAATTCAAGAACATTAGAGTTGACTTGTAACTAAATATTTATAAATGTTTACATTTTAGTGAAGTTTAAATTTACCCATCGTACTTACTTTTAATATTAATAAAAAAAATATACAATTCTAGTTTTTTTACCATAATTTCCAAATGAAGTAAGGACTTTTTTTGAAAATACCATCAAATTAAGTATGCAAAAAGACATATTCAGAACAAAAATTTCAAAAATCGCTCAGAAGCTAAATGCATTATGCATTGTATGTGTTTTTATGATGTTACAAGCAGTGCTTGAATTGGAAAAAAAATAGAAGGGGGGTGCAAAAGTATAAAACATTTATGCGTCACCTACGAACATTTAAATGTCTTATTAATTCTTGAAATTAGAAGGAGTACGCTAAAATATTTTTAAGATAAAAGTGAGACTCCGCCCCCTCCCTCCCCCCGTTCAACCACTGGTTACAAGTAACCCTTAGATATTTTTTGAAAAATAAAACTAAAGCCATACAATTGGGAAACAATGTTTTTAAACTTCTAATTACAATATTCTTCTTTTGAAGTATCCTTTAATGTATAAAAAATACACGAACCCCTAAACTCGACATCTATCATTAAAATCTGAAGCACTTTTGAAAGCAATAATAAAATCGCTGTGATCATGAAAAATGTTTGGCTATTTTTCTGGGAGGTAATGATTAGACCAATCACATGCTTGAAGATAACATTTATAGGCCATAAATATGATAATAATATGTTTAATGGAGGTACAATTACATTATATTATAAATACCCTCATAGATATCTTGAAATGTTATAACAAAAACAAAACTATTACATCTCACCTCGTAGTTCTAAGTCACCTCAGTTGACGGTATCATAAAATATAATTTGTAACATTATATTCTGATCTTCACTCAGAAACGTTTTTCGGGTACAATGATGTTATATCATTAAATTCAAATTTAATACAACCATTATAGCGACCCCTGTATACACCAATTGAGGGGTGGAAATCCAAAACTTACTATTGCCAAAATTTACAAATAGATTCTTATAGAAAAAATATTGATATATTGATTGACGTCGTCAGAATAAATCAAAATGTACTATTTCCTGGTCAAATCTGCAATTCAAAATGACTGGTTAGCCAAAACGAACCTTTTCCATACATAAAAATGATAATTAGAAATTCAAAAACCTACTTTTTCCAGTTTTACACCAAAACGTACTTTGGGCCATGCTTAAAGAATAGGAATATATATATATCATTAACTATATCAAAATGAACTATTTCCGAAACGATCTTCTTTTTAGAATATGCCAAAATGTACTTTTACCCGTGTTATACGTATACCTATTTATAGGAAATTAAAAATGTTATTCCAAAACGTACTAAAATTTAGTTTTAAATATAAATAAAAATTCCATTAAGTCATTCCAAAATGTAAGATATTTTATTTTTTGTAATAAATTAAAATTATTGTAGAAAATACATTTTGTAAAAGTTAATACTCTTCAAGAATGTTTTGGATTTATAAATTATAAAATAATATTTTACAGGTTGTATTTCAACAAGGCCAGCAAATGTCTGTACGGCAAGGTCAGTTACGTGTCCAAAGCTCATCAAGCCAAGCTGGATCTATAGTTGCTGTGTCTATGGCTCCTCAACAACAGCAACCAACCGTATTGACTATACCTTCGTCACCTAATTCACATACGCCACGCACAACCTAAATGACGTAAACATATAATATGATTATAGATAAATTATTTTTATTTGTATTTAGGTTCACATTACCTATTGTTTTTTTTTTATTTTTACCATTAACAGACTAATTTTGAGCATTTGTATGTTCCTTTTTAAAATTGTTTCAAAGAAAATTATTGTTTTCAGTTGTATGTCAAAGAATAACAATATTTAACTTTTTATGGTGTTAATTAAAATTTTTATTTTCTTTGTAGATCACATTGATGTGATTTAATAAACATTGTTAAATTTCTACGTACAATTTCATAAATGTCCTACGTAATTTCTTATGTATATTTATACATACTTATTATATATTATATAAAAATCTGTAATAAAATTAGATATAGGCTGTTACCATTATCGACTTAAATAATAGCTGATGTTAAAAGTACCTAATAACAAAAGATAATTTTAAATAGTATTAAGAGAAAATGTTAATTTTAAATTTTGATGGTCTTTCTTATGTTTTTTCATAAAAAAGATAATTCACTCTAGATATTGTTTCAAGTGAAGTTGTGACTGTTACGCTTATTTTTTTCCTTCATAGAAAATACTCTGTATAATAATAAATAAAAATGTTGAGGTGCAATTAATCAATAAATCATGTGTATTTTTATCGATTGAACTTGATAAATTAACATGACAATGAATGTATATATGATATTTATTGCACCAAAATGAATTTTGTACAATTTTAGGCTCTTGTATATAATTTTGTTGTATAATGTAATTTTAATCAATTTTTTTTTAATTTGCAATTGTAATCGTAAAATTGATGTTGTACATGGTCATTTTAATTAACATTCGTGATATATAAACTGTATATAATTAATATAGAAATTTTTTTTTATATAACTTGTGTATTTTACTTATAGTTACATTCCTATATAGAGCTTAAAATATTAAAAATACTCAAATAATTAAAATACTAAATCATCTACTGGTCTAAACCATATTATCCAAAAACTAAATACAAAAATATTACCTTTAATTTTGATAAACCGAGTTTATAGCTTTTTCCATTTACTCTTGTCATAGCCCTTCTGATGAAATCCAGATCACAGATAATTTAAACAACCCTAATCAAGGATGAGATACTTAGGCCTAATCTTTGACCAAAACATGAAATGGCAACTTCACATAAACAATTTGACTATGCGCAGAAGGTCAATTATGTAAAAAATATATTTGAGAAAAATAATTTCACCAGATACTATTTTATTGTATTGTGTATTTGTCTTTCTACCAAGCTATTATTCAGTATGAAAATAATTGCCTGAGGTGGTACATATGAAAATGCTATTAAGCCATTATCTATCCAACATGGATCAACTAAAGTGAATCATAAATATCTTGGCGTCTTACCTATCAATTTACTTTACAAAAAATGTGCAATCATGTTTACTGTTAAAAAGATTCCTTTAAATAATAATATGTATTCAAAAAGTAATAGAACATAATATTATGACATCTCAAATAATTATACTAAAAAAAATATTGGACAAAGATTTGTTCACTATTTAGGACCTACTTTTTTTTAATGCAATGCCTTTTTCTATTAAAAAAAAAATTATAAGATCAAATCTCAAAACAACTATCTCCAATTGGCGGCTTCTATAAGAAATTTGATGATTTCTAACAAAATATAATGTATGTATAGGGTATAGACATTCAATTACAATCTTATATTTTTAGCTTATAACTATTCTAAATATATTTTATATTTAAAGAAATCTATACTTCTTTGTATTTCCTCTTTATATAATGTTTAATTACATTTCTACTGTAATATATATATAATTTAAGTATTTAACATGTACCTCTGTACTACCATCACAAGCTTAAAGGACTACTGGTGTCTCAAAAATGATGTACTTTTTTCAAAACGCGGTTTCTAACATGTATGGTGTTATTACTTATTAGTTATTATCAGGGCTTGGGACTTTATGTGCTTAAAATCTTAAAAATATGCACATACATATGCACCAAAAAATATCAAAATATGAATTTATTTTTAATCAAAAAATACATACTTATTCAAATTTAATTTTGAAAAAATATATCTTTTACATATTACTAAAAATTTATATTTTATACATACTATATAACTAAAAAAAAAAAGTGTTGAATGGGAGGTATTTGGGTTTTTCAACACTCGGCATCTTCTATACCTAGCAATTATAATTTTTATGTATTAAAAAATAATCATTTTATAATTCTAATTATGTACTTACTTGCGTTACACTGGATTATCAAATGTTTTTTTATGTTCTCGACTTTGAAAGACTTTATATTATTTGAAAAAAAAGTTTTATAGGCGGAAAATGATCTTTCTAAGTTTATCAATGTGATGTGAGCATATTTAAAATATGTCAGATCGTTAATATATGTCTTCTAGTAAGTCTTTCATGTCAATTAATTCACCGTTCAGAATATTTTTAATTTTCCTTAGCATAGCAAGACCAACATTTTGGGTTGTATCAGTTGGGTTCTTGTATTGAACATTTCCCTCCGTTTAATCATTTTCACATGTTTAACTGTTTGTATATGTTGTATTACACTAGATCGCCATTCATATTCTACTTTAATTTCACATATTTTGCAAAATAAAACTCTTCCGTCAGCGGAAAATACATTATCCCCAAATTCCAGAATGAAACTTTTCAACCGACTGATTTGTGTTTTTTTTTTCTTATGGCATTTTATACCACAAATACGAGCACTAATAAATAAAAAATAACGAATACAAATACGAACATGACAACGATTGACAATATATAAAAATTGACACGATAACGATCGTCGATCGTGTCCGTCCATCCCTGTGTATTGGCAAACAAAATAATACTGCAGAAGACAGATTCAATAAAAATGATATTGTCTTCAGAGTTAAAAATAAAATTGGTTAACCGTAACGTTATTGATTATTGCCGACAAAATCATGCAGATGAAATTGATTAATTTACTAAAAATATGATTTAAGAGTAAATAATCAAAAATTAATTTAAAATATGCAATAAAAATCAATAAATCTTAAAAATATGCATTTGTAGAAAAAAATTCCAAAATATGCAAACATATGCACAATAAACTTTTAAACTTTAACTCCAAACACCACAACACAAATTTTTACCAGATCAGATTTATTCTATTTACTTCCCGAACAAATATGCAAATGCATAAAGTCCCAAGCCCTGGTTATTATATAGCGTTTGATGTGATCCCAAGTCCCTAATATCCATTATTATCATTTAAAAATGATCAGTTAAACAAAACAATGTTGTTTTAAGACAATAATGTTATTAATTCACATGGTGCTGAATTACAACTTAATTATTATAAATTGAAAGATTTAAAAACAATATTATGTACAGACGTCTGCATTGAAACATCAAATTTTAAAAATAAGTATTTTATTAGTATGTTAATTTCATAAATTTAATAAAAAAAATTTAAAAAAAAATAAGGTATTAGTATTAGTTTAATTGCTCAGACTTAACCAGAAATTGAAGTCTACGCATATAAACTCATATTATCAAAACAATTAATACAAGAAAGTATAAAAAAGTTCAAAAATACAAATTAAAATATTTTATATTAATTACAAACACGGTCATACAAAATTTATTCTAAATTATAATTATAACAGATTCTTAAAACATGTACAATATTTTGGACGGAAATAAATAAGTTTGTATCACAACCTAATATTTGGACGGAAATTTTAACTTACAGTTAAAAATTATACTGCTAATATTTGTATATATGTATATACAGTGGTGTTTTTGTAAAAAAATCTATAGGATATATGCTCATTAATGAACTTAATTCAATGAAACAAATATGGCATATGCAATAAATTTATAAGCGCAAAGATAATGAGATTCAATCTTTCAAAAGGTAGCTCTTTTAATAGTTCTCTCGGCAATTTTTAGCCCCCTTAAATGCTCATTATACTTATTAAAAAAAATTACGATAATCACGGCCATGAATGATGATTAACTACATACCAAGACATACACATAAACAATCCTAAATATTTATTACACGGTTCAAACTTATAGAAAATTAATAATTAATAATTGTCCTATGACAATAAATAATACTACAGATTGCTTAATAATTGTAAATTTTAAGGTATACTTACGAGCTTATAAGTGTGTATTTATACTATTTTCAAGAAGTATAAGCTAATTCACAAAATGGTAAATGGGTAAAGCCGTATACCCTCAAAAACACCATTGTATAATATATAAATGCTTATAATTAAAATAGAGCAGAAAATGATGTGACCTACAGATGAACTAAAGTACTAACATTATTTAAATATTAAAATAATTACAAAAAAAATGTCAGTGTATAAAAATCTGTCTTAAGGCAGAACACAACAACCATTTGGAATTAAACTATAAGGTTTTGGTTACATGGAACCCAATCAACACGGTGATGCATCCCAATAACACAATCAGATTGGATTTTACTGCACTACTGCCCATCTGAAATACCAAAAAATATAAGTAATCAAGTATTTTAATAAATATGTCTATTGAATGAAATTCCTTACAGTGATGTAGAAATTACAACGGTCGCCTAAGCAACATTCAGCACATTTCCAATCTTGATACCATAAGTATGTGCAATAGGGCATTGTTTTAGTTTTTACAGCTTCACATGTAGCCCTTGTGGCACATCTCTTTGATACATAATATTGTTTGATCCCTCCTTCAACCCAATATGGTGGAGCTGAAATAATAATCAACATGTTTATGAAACAAAATATAAAGTCAGTATGGACAATGTATGTTCAAAAACTATAAATATTCTTACATCCCCAACTGATTTCTGATAAACACATATCTTCTTCTGGTTCGCATGTCTTAATTGTGTTCAAACATTTTTTGTGGTTTTGATCTTGGTTTGTACAAACATAACATTCCAAGGACTCACCTAAAACACAATGAAGGTTACGTTAGGTACAACCAGCTAAGTTTTAGCATATGACACTATTAAGTTATTACATTTAAAAATGTAAAACACTCAAATTGTAATTTAAAAAAAAATTGTTTTATGCTGAATCATTAGAATTATCTAGTTGTTTTATTAAGTAATTAAATGCGATTCATCATAAATTGGGCCCAAATAAGAAATGTTTAGATATTGTGTGATGGAAAAAGTTCATTAAACCCTCTGGCCATAGGCTCAAATAGACCAATTTTTGGAAGAACTAATCCTGGCCCTATCCTATAATATTTTCTTAAAATAATATATGCTTAGTACCAACTACTAAGAACTGCCTTATGAATTGGGAGGACTAAGTTCTCCAAGCCCCCTATACCCCTATTTGCGCCAATGCACCTGGTCTATTATTGATAGCTATACAGATATTATTGTTATTAACAACCAGAATGTATTTAGAAATTGTTTGACCAGTGGCAACAAAAATTACTAGTTGTATAAAAATAAATTTCTCCCTATTGGGAAAACATAAGATTATTAATATGTCTTATGAAAGGCCATAAAACATATTACTGATCTTATCTCCTAATCCTGAGGTTTATTTTTTTATATTAATTGTAAGTACTTAATATGACTGGAAAAATAGGAACTAAAATGCTGTGTTTATAAATGTCAAATGTTTATTTAGGAACATGCCACTCAGTTAATTTTCACCGCTTCTAAGGGAACTAACAATAGCTCAGTTTCCAGCACACATCCCTTCACAACTAGAATTTGTTATATTGTTCTTTTTGATTGTTTAATGAAAATTCCGGACTCTGCAAACAAAAGTAAATGCCAATTGCAAAACCGCTAAAGGAAATGCTTGGAAATATCTACGTCATAAGAGGTTGAGAAGGAGAAATATTTTAAATTTATGTCAAAACTTAAAAATCTAGAGATACAACAAATTACCTACACTATGAAAGGGACGAAGAGAAATGGATTTCTCAAAAAAAAACTCCTTAACTCATACTTTGCATGCAGCAGAATTAATATTACTGCTCTCAAATGATAATAAATGATAAGTACTATAATAGTTGTTTGTTGACGACTAAAATTGGGTATTTTCCCATAATAATTAATGGGAAATTATCAATTTTAAATAATTGAAAAAGTTTTAAAATTAACAAAATTTAATTAAATTTAATTACATTTCAAAGCAAGTATCTAACTTAATAGTCAAAACTGGTAGGTAAAATAACTAAATATTAAATAAAAACCACATTTATCTATCAACCTAGGCCATACTGAATTTGGAAACACCTACCCAACGACACACCCATTGGCTGATATTTTTTAAAAATATAAATTAAATTATGTACATTATATAATATGTTTACAGAAGGCACTTACCTGAGTTTGTAATAACTATGATCAATGCAATACACCACAACAATTTATTAAAGAAAATCATATTTGCAATCGTGTAGTTAACAAATAAAAAATGTATACACACAACTATTAATCGGCGGAATTACAGTATTATTATAAAAAAAAAAGTATTAATTTAATCTTGTCAATAACAAGTGTATGACACCTGACACATCTCACGACAAACTGTAAACTGAATAATTAATAATTACTAATATTACTAATTTAAATTTCGTTATCGTAAATCGTTACAATAAACAATAATATCAAACATTCCTTGAGACTTTCACGCCCAAAAAAGTTACAAGTTGTTGTTATTCATAAATATAGGTATAGATGTGTGATAACATTGTTCTGTGGTGATAATGAGACAATTGACGATTGGCCACATTGGGATTTGGGAAGTTGTATAATTATATAAAAAAAAAAAATCGTTTAAAGATAGCATCTGCATCACAGATATATAAAAATCATAGACATATTAACTTCGACCATATAAACTTTGTATATGGTCGAAGCATATTAATATGTCTATGATAAAAATACTACAGATAGACGACTCCACAGATATATAAAAATACTTGATAGACGACTCCCTATTCCTACAATGTAATAATTATGAAGCCAACAAAATGGCCGATCTCTTATCTAAGAGAAAACTCTTATCTAAGAGGTGAATGTTTACAAAATATAAATTATGATAAACTGTGATAATTTTATGGCGGGAATCAAAAACTATTAAATAGGTATGTATTACAAATTACAATATCATTATACACTTACTAGTTACAACACGGGCTAAGATGTACTTATACTTATATTATTAATTTTATAGTATATTTTAATCCTTGACTTAAAATTAAGATTAAAAGTATAATTTATTTTAAAATAAAGTAAAATAAAAAAGATTTAATTTAATATTAAATATAATTAAGAGAAAATATTATTAATATATATCTTGTACTTGGTGAAATTACAAAAATTGGTTAAATTAATAATATATTTATGTAATAACAAGCCTCTTCTAATTATTAGACGTTGAGTTCCAAAATAAATGACATTAAATGGTATAATTAAATTACAATTATTTTATGATCTTGTATTTATAACCATACAAAGGATGGAATTTACTTGTATTAACTTTAAACATACGGTATAATACAATATGCAGCTCTTAAGTTTTGACCAAAAGTTCAATCTTTAAACTCATGGTAAATTATATTAGTAAAATATGATTTAGTTTTGTTAAGAATGATTTTGATTAATTAATTTATAGTTTAGGGTAAAACATTGTTGTGTATAGGAATATGTAAAGCCACACATCAAAATCAAATACGAACATTAAATATAAAAATCTTGATTTAAAAATAATAAACTTATGTAAAATACATTTGCATTCGATAATAATATTTTTAATGCACTTCAATGTGATAATGTTCCTTTGCTAGATAGACCCCATAAGATGGTATTAATTTCATTATGAGTTAAAAAATATCTAAGTATTCGACTCCATTCTTTTGGCAAAATGTTTTCAACAGAAATTATAAATCCTGTTAGAAAAAGACAAATAAACAAATAACTTTTATGAACCAGTAGTAGGTATAAAATATTATATGTAGTATAGACTATAGGTATCAGTTTTATTTTAAATATTTGTATTATTATTAAATTAATTATAATATAATATACTAGTTTTGTTTTATTTACTTGAAATATTTTATATTTATTACTATAATATGTAGCACTAGTATAGATACAAGTTTTGTTTTATCAATTTTTAAATATTTTATGATTATTATTATACCGGTTTTATTCATTTGAAATATTTTAAGATTATTATTATAGGTACTAGGTTGTATACCAGTTTTGTTTTTTTTTTTTTTTAAACATTTATTATATTATTATTAAATTAG